CTTTAGCAGTGTGTTAATTGTTGTGACATTTACGTGGCTATCGCAGGTGTCCGATAACCTGTTGTGTGTGAACAAGTGAAGTGTAAAGAAGTTGGATCAGCTACTTACATCTTACATCCAATGGACTGTCGTTTTGGTTCCCACTCTTTTATAATGCCCGAGTTGGCCTCGCCTTTGGCTGCACAATATTCTTGAGTCAGCTTGAGCAGAGTCTTTTTTTGAGTTTTGAAAGACACTACTTCAAGAAGCTTCATTGTGACACCTTGTGAATCGATGCACCAATTGCAGCACAGGAATGGTCAGAACTCACGTAAGTAATCAATAGTTGTTTATATGGTCTATTAGTGGAATCTGAGCCGGCAAACTATTTAGTAAAACATGAACCACATCTTTGAAGATAACTGTCAGCATGTTTTATGACAATCAGCTTAGGAGCCAGATTGTTCAAGGCTTTTTAAAAAATCTCTGAGAAGTATACTTGGTATTTTGATAGAAAAGCGTACTTAGCATGTGTTCACTTACAAGTGTATAGCTGCTATATATTCTCATCGAGAGAGTACACTTGTAGCAGAAATTGGAAAAGATTTACATTTCCTTGCTCTATAATTTCCCAAATATAAGATAAGTTTCTGTACATTTCTTAATTCTAAGATGTACTCAGTGGCCATTTTTTTTGTGAATTTGTTTCTTTAACTTGCTGAAAGCAATTAAATTTTTTAACTACTGCTAGCTAAAGTGCTAGCCTGTCAATTATGAAAGAACGCTTCAATCGCCTCTGATAATTAGCAAGATTTTCACAGTAGGCTTGTGGCGGTCTCTCTGAAACAAGTCTTTTAGTTTCATAAGCATTATGTGAATGTAAATTTAACCAGTTAATCACAAATTACTTACCTTAATGTACTTAATGGTTCCACTTCTATATTTTTGGGACAAGAGATTGAGTCACGAGTAAGCACCTTTTATACCTGCAATATTCATGAGCATGTTAGCATTCTTAGTCTCTTTGCATTGTAATGATTTCCTGCAGCCCGGCACCCAATGTTGTGTTCAAAGTGAAGGAATTCAGTCTACAACATGCTATTAGAAGAGTCTTGACTTTATTGGACTCTTAGGAAGTTTTCAGATTACAAGGCCGAAATAATTGTTATTCAACATCGCAGAGAAATATCCCTGAAAACTGTTTCTGGTTTCTATGATAAAATTTTCTACGTATTGTTTTGACATAAGTCGTTTCTATATGTAGAGCACGCTCTTTTAATTCTGACACTAGCCATACCATTTTTATAACTGTAGGACAGGAGATAGAGACACAGAATAGTAACATGACTATCAAGAATGAGGGTTTGAGAACAACTTCTGTCTATGCTGCTTTATAAGAGTAAGATGTGCATAAGTCTGACAGCCAGAGCAGGGTTACAAATGAATGAATTCATTGTATTATATGCTATTACATGTGTGGGAACCAAGTTTACATCACTCCTGGGCCGGTTTTAAAAATATAATAGCCTACAGTAATTGCCAGCCATCTACGCAGAGATTTGCCTTCAAACAAATTTTGAGTATCCTGGCCAAATTTTCCTAGCATTGCATTGACATGAATGATTTCTATGTCCATAGAAAGCCCTTCTTATTTTGAATCTAATCATACCATTTCCAT